TCTCTCTCTCTCTCTCTCTCCTCTCTCTCTCTCTCTCTCTCTCTCTCTCTCTCTCTCTCTCTCTCTCTCTCTCTCTCTCTCTCTCTCTCTCTCTCTCTCTCTCTCTCTCTCTCTCTCTCTCTCTCTCTCTCTCTCTCTCTCTCTCTCTCTCTCTCTCTCTCTCTCTCCCAGTCCTCTCACCCGACTGCATCCGGTTGAGGTTGAGCACGTCGAACGTGTTCTTGATGGCCATCCCCATGTGGGTCATGCCGAACGCCTGCAGGTTCTTCAGCTCCTGCGTGAAGGTCTGCAGGTTCTCCTTCCAGCCGGCCTGTGGAGACGGGAGGCGGTGGACATGTGGAGCGAGCGGCAGATACAGGTGTGATCGGTCTTAACACGAAGGCGGAAGGGAAAGGCTTGTGTTTCTTTTAAAATACTGATCCGAGTAACTAATATATCATGGACTTTCCATTCGAGCAATCCTCGACTTTACCGCAAGAGGAATGCTTAACGAGCAATGAGTGGAGGACTGCACATCGCAATATGACAGCACTGCCGACATTCCACAGAGCTTCCGACCACAATATTGGCCAGACTGCCACTAAGACGGCATAAGTCGAGCAGATGTGTCAACTCCATGTAACCCGCCGTCAAATGGCGTTCGATCGGACCCGTCGGCAGGACGACGTCCCGGAGCCGACCGCAAAAACGGAACAAATAACGTAACTGGAAACGACACCGCGCCTGACAGTCACTTCAGCTGAGGCGCCGCAGCGCTTCGACTGAAAGTTGACGCTTTAGTTGGAGCTACGCTGGAAGATACTCGTACCTTGATGTGATGTGGATGGTCCTCGAACGTTAGCAGCATGTAGCGATCGCCTTTGCTCTCCGGGGACCTCTGTCGAATCTGTAACGGCACCATCCAACCAGCGTTAAAATACAATGGTCATACAAATTGCAGTGGGCTCCGATCCCTCACACCCGTAAACGGAGGAGTATTGCTGTAGATTGTAGAAGATATGTTGGCGTTAGTTGGTTCGCATCGACTCAATGTCCGGAGCAGTGGCAGCAATAGATGCCAATGACTGCCAAGTGGATCGTTTCATTATGTCAAGTGCCCATGCAGGGCCGCGACTCGCTGCAGCCACTGTCCTAATCACTCCTCCAGCCTGAACGACGAGCCATATCTCAAAATCCAACGCCGCTAATCGTTCCAAACACGATTGCTACCAGGGCGCTGCCAATTAAATTAAATAAATAAAAGAACAGCGTAATGTCGATGAAATAAACCACGTCATTGCGAAACCGCCAGTGACCTCACTGTGCGAGCGGCAGTACATCAACACGTGACGTCACAGACCTGTGATCTTCCACCTAACGGTGATACCATCACACAATCCCCGTTTAGCCAGTGACAGCAACCCTTCCACCGGGCGAAACTCGCAGCCATTGCCGCCGTTCAGAACCGATAGCACGTATAGCAACATCAAACAAGTTGCACCTGTGCCGCTGCTTCCGTGCCCACACAGCGTGCTGCAGCCTACACGGCGCCGATAGTCGGGGTAGAAGCCCAGCTTCTTATGCACGATAGATCTCCGTGGGGAGCTCTCGCCTCCAACCGCGCCGCTCCTCTGCCCATCACCTCACACCACACACGCCGAGCACATCTTTGCAGCGGTGGTGGTGGTGTCAGCAGCGGCGGATCGCGACCCCCCCCCCCCCCTCTCCCCCGGGCACTGGCAGTGGCGGATCGCGACCCCCCCCCCCCCCCCTACACGCCCAGTGGCAGTGGCGGATCGCACCAGCTCCCTCCCCAGCCCAGTGGCAGTGAGCAGGGACGACCCGGAGACCAGTGGTGGCAGACACGCCCCTCCCCGCGGCAGGGGCGGCGGATCAGCCCCAGCCCACCCCGGGGCCGGCAGCGGTGGCAGACGGCAGAGAAGCAGTGAGCAGAGTTCGACCCAGAGACCACCGAGAACCCCGAGAACCTATGGCAGCCCCTCCCTTCCCTACTGCAGAGGCGGCGGACCCCTTCCCCCTTAGTGACAGTGAGCGGGGGGAGACCCACAGACCACCGATGGTAGCCCCCCCCCCTGCAGCAGGGGAGACCCACAGACCATCGGCGGCAACCACTCCCTCTCCACACTGCAGAGGCGGCGCCCGTTGTTTGGTTACCAGAGCCGAGCTGCCGCCTGCCAGTCACTAATAACAGCACGTCGCGTAAACATAGCCCACACCAGCGTAAAACCACACAGAATCGGCAGCACGCCACACTCCACGGCGAACTAAACGCGAGAGATTCATCTAAGTGTTGGTGACGACTTAACAACAGATTTCGTCGCGAGTTTACGTCCGTGTCATGGCCGCTTGTTTGAGCATCATTTGCACCCTATTATTCCATAAATCTCTCCAGAGAAAAAGGCTTTAGCGGATCAGTTCGGTGCGTGGTTGAAATTACGATGAGAAACAGGAGCAGATGAGGACCTCGTCGATCGATAGAATCAACGGCGCCGACAATTTTCACCAACCGACGTCTGGCATCCAACACAACTCTGGCAGCAAGTTGGGCAGCCGAGGCACTCCTCCCCCGCCCCACGCAACCGCATATCGTCGTCTCAGCCGCGCCGAAGAGATGCGCCGTCCAGGAAGGAAGCGCCGAGGAAAGCTGGGGCGACGGCCGCGCATCAAGTACCCTGTCATGATGCCACTTCGCAAACCAATTTCCCTGATTGATAACGGTCATTGTGGCCGTTGACTTTCAAAGGGCACTCGGCAGTGAAGCACTCAGCGGAGGCGCCGGGGGCGGTCGGCCTTCTCACGACAGAAGCGTCACGGTGCATAACACGGTGCTTATCACTTCACGTATCACATAGATCACCCCCGTATCAATCCACACATCACATCACTCATCACAGCGCCTATCACAGCACATGTAACCCTCGCGTATCACAGCAGGTATCACAGCAGGTATTACAGCCCTCACAAACCCCGTCGCCGACCACCTCGCCACACCGCCGGCGTCGCGGCTGATTTCTCCCGTGTAATAAACCTCACCTCTGAGTCGGCCGTCACATGGTCACCGGCCGCCGCTACCTGTTTCGGAATCAATAAACAGGCACCCGCGGAGGCCTCTGGGGGCGGGCGGACCCCGGTCCACGCCGACTCACCGCCAGACCGTGTGCGGGTGATTCGATTCGGCGGGGCCGGGCACTCAGCTGTTGTGGGCCGAGCGGCGAGTATAGCGTCGGGTGAAGATAAGGCAGCGGGTACGGCGCGTCCTCCCTTCGGGGCGGCTGTCGGCTGGCTCACCTCCGAGCGACTGCCGCCGACCGGGCACCGACACCCACACCGCGCGGGGGGACGGGGGACGGGGAGAAGTGGGGAGAAGTGGGGAGACAGGGAGCAGTGGGAGGGGGACGGAGAAAAGTGGGGAAAGTGGAGAGAAGTGACTGCCTCGATAGACGGGGGATTTGGACGAGGAAGGACACGGGCTGGAGAAGAAAAGAAGGAGCCCTTGGAGACGAGTCCCTCGTGGGAAAAAGAAAATATCCCCGCGAGAAAAATAAAAACACCCCGTAAGGGAGGATGGACTGCAAGGGAAAGGGGCACCTGGGCTAACCACGATAAAAGAGCTCGGGCGGATCCCAGGCCACGGAACTCGAAGTGATGTGTGCTGGACTCGACGAGACCCATGGCGACATCCTCGCCGATAACCACTCACCGGATACAGGCAATAACTCTCACTTGAAATATGAACGAGATTACTTCTTCCATCGAACGTTATCACAATCATGGATGCATGCAATCCAGCGATTTCTTCTGCTAGCACTGAGCCGTCGCTGAGCAAGTACCAGCTTTAGAGCGTTGATAAACAATAGGCTCCTACATGACGACAGCTTGTGGTCCAGAAATACCACCGTTATCAGAACCAATATTGATAAGAGCTGCGATTCACAATGCATCGAGCGCCACAGGGAGCATCAAACTAGTTAACCTCCATTCCGTTTCCTCGACTTGGTTGTCACTACAGAGCGTGATGTATCAGCATGATTGCCTAGTTGTTGATCTTGCTGGAGTTAACTCTTGTTTACGTCAACAAATCATCTACTTTGCATGCTGAGCTAAGACAGGGGCTAACAGCTCGTTCACGACACGTCACCGCGCGAGCTGCGAGAGGCTCTTTCGTTTTCACGGTGCCGGTAATGCTCTGATTCGGTGGGGTGTAATGAGCTCATTTTATGATCAAAACGAGCGCGCGAGCGAGTCGAGCCGATTACCGTTTGTCTCAATCCTTTTCGTATGTTATGTCAGAAAATGGGGAAGGACGCCAATGTGTTATGCAAAGTGACAATGTAAGCTTTAGCAGGTAATGGAGCAACTTCTGCCTTCCGTGTCACAAGTGGTAGAATGAGAAAAAAATAAATAAAAATCAGCTTTCCCCGATTTGGACATGTTTTGACAAACCGATTCAAAGCTGGAGAACAAACAGAGCTGGGAAATCGCGGAGAGAGCATACGGTAACTTTTTCGGAGATCTTTCACTTAGAGACCTCATATTGAATCAGAGGTTCATACTCTACATTTCGGTGAAGAAGAACCGACCAGGAGCAGCAAATCCTGTTCAAGAGCAGTGGACGATCCTCCAGCAAGACGACAACAGAATCCAGCAGCCAGCGACACAATCAGAGTCAGCACAGTCATAATTCCATCTGTCTGCTGCCTGTGCATTTCAATCTCATGGCTGGTGTGACAAGATATGCTCCCCGGTATATGCCTGCAAATGGACCATGAGGAGAATCCTCATTCCTCACAGCCTAGCAGATGAGGTGTCTGACTGGTAACCACGTTGCAACAAATTTTCACAGCTGTTGCATTTGAGAGACATTTCAAGGCTTCTCTTCAGCACCTGTCTCCAAATGTTGCTTTTGTAATATTTTACATGATCTAATGGCCTCACATTAGAGGACCTATGAAACGTTTTAAGTGTAACCCTACAATTTAAACAGGTTGTGCAAGGCTAGCTCAGCAATGCTACCCACAGATACTTCAGTTGTGAAGCATATTTTCTCAAATATTTGCATTTTCTCAAATATTTAACATATTTCTCAGCACACAAGTACCTAATGATACAAGCTCTGAGATAAAAATAACAAGTAATAATAGCCCTTCAAGCAGCCTTGCTCTAAGCTGCGAGATTTAAAATTGAAACCAGTAACCACTGATGAAATATAAAAGGAAGCTGAGCAGAAGAAGAAGCAGACTGTAGATGGATACACTCTGGCCTAGAATGAGCTGTTCATTTAAAATGGGATGTCACTTAGGCAAAATGAACAACAAAGCTTATGAGAGTTGATAATCTAAAGCTTATGCTAATTAAGACTGCCATAAGGAAGCACCTTGGCAAGCTCATAAGAGCTCTGTGATTTTAAAGAAGTCAACAAATCTATTTATTATGCACAGAATAGTTAACTGAACGCAATAAAGTAAAAGTTCTGCACCAGCATTTTAAAAGAATATTCACAGCATGTCATTTAAATATCTGAATAGCCTGCATCTCTAAATGGGCTGAAAAATAATATCACAATTATCATAACAATCCTTTCTGGAAATCAACAGTGAAATAAAGGCATTTCAGTGCTTTATCCTTTGTCCAGATGTTGTGTGGGCATGCAACTTGTTGAGAATTCCCAAAAACACTCATAATATACAAAAATATAGTTCAACTTACCTTGACAAAGGTCTCCACTGCTCCCTTTGCAACATCGAGTAAAGTCGGATGGCCACCCGAGAAGGCTTGCTGGTTCATAGATGCAGATGTATCAATAAGAAAAACTATAATTGTCATTTTCTTGAAGTTCTTTGAAGTGCTTCCTACATATTATGCCCGGATTCCTCTGAATACAAACTTATTTGCTATTTATATGTGAAATAGCACATATAAATACATATAGTTATCAACTTTCTGGTGTAAATCAAGGTTATTTGCAGATATTGGGTGAACTTCATCCAACTATTGAAGACTCACAGTGACAGATATCAGAAACAATGCACTGGAAGGGAGTTTATCAACCATTCATCGACGCCGTTGCGATACAAACTTGTCCGCCGCTTCTCAACACAGGCACAGAAACTTCCACGGATTACTGCGCCAGAACTGCAGCAAAAACAGCAGCGCCCCCACCAGCCCGATGGCCAACTTCAAGCTCAAATATCCGCTTATTTAAGAACTTTCATGGACTCAGATGATCCAAAAACGAAAGTCTTGCAACTAGTTTTTGATTTGAGCCACAGACTGAACGAAAAATGCGTTTAATTCCGACAATATCTCGCATAAAACCGGACAGCCAACCCTCGCTTCTTCAATAACTTGTCGACATTAATGGCGCTGGAGCTCAATTTGCCGATTAAAAGAAACGGTGCCACTAAAGCAAAAGCCCAGGCCAAATGACGGTAGCATCGCTAGCATCTGTGTGTTTTTAAAGGCGCAGTTATTGAAGTGTTTAGTGCCAGTGGCATTATCATTGCAAAAAATGAGTGTAGAGTGTGCAAAAGCCCCTATCCAAAATACTGAGATATAGGTAAGCTGAAGCATATCTTTTTATACCCTACCTACAAATTTGTGCGTGTCCTTCATAAGCCTCCAATCCAACAGATTTTGTCTCGCATGTGAGTCCCCGAGTCGGTGGGCCACATCAACATCGGTAGGGAGCAAAAAAAACTCTAAAAAGTGGTCGTTCAAAACGCCCGTCCTGCGTCCAGCAAATAAATGAGTTCCTCTCGAAAACTTGTGCTCGGTTCGAGACTGGTGGTGCGTTCAGAGAAGCACATTCCACGTGAAATCCGTGGAATATTTCATGCGCGCGGAATATCACCGGAGGTTGGCCGTTCAGACACCTTTGAACGCGGCAGCCGATGAATTGGCACTTCGGCAGTCGGCACCCGTGGCGCTCCGCCGAATCGCATGCAAAGTGAGGGTGCACGGTCTTGCAAAGTGACATCTCAGTCAGGGACTGGGGCGCTATTCTGCATGTGTGCTTGTGCACGAGACCAGCTCCTATCATGAATCACGGGCTCAAATTATTTACGCCCATTCATTGTTCACTCTAAATTAGTAAGTTTCAGATATCCTGTCGCGAACCAAGGATATACCCACCACTTATCAATTGGTAGTTTGCTGCTTTCACGCTTCCAGCCCATGCAGTAAATAACTGTTTGCTCATTGGCTCACCCCTGGTTGCCATGGAATCCAGAGAAGCAGAAAGCGTCAGTCTCTCAGTCTCTGCAATACCATTGGTCAGCCCTGTCTGTGAGCTGCAAATCTCAAAATTGAACAATGCAGAAGAGTTTCATTTTTGACGCACCTGAGACTTTCCCTTTCATCTCCGCGTTTCGAATTTGTAATTACGTTCGTAATTCGTAAATCGTAATACGAAGTTGTAATTTGTAATACTTCAAACACTCAATATCCTCCTCGCCTCCTCTGTGTTTATCTCATCCAGTTTTGCTTCGTGAGTCAAGGTTAGTATTCCAGGTTGAGGTGGCAAATTATCCGTTCTATTTCATTCTTCTGCTCTTGTGCTGGCGCCAGTGTTACTTGCATTATCATGACATTATGGTTTTCAATTCAGTAGGCGGAACTATGGTCACGAGTACCCAAATATAGGAACGTTCCCATTTTTGGGAACGGAGTTCCCAAATATGGGAACGTGCGTTCCCATTTATGAGAACGGAAGGCAATTTTTCGGCCGTTCTCCCACTAAAACTCAAAAGTGCATCACGTCTCAAAAAAGTGCACGCTGATTTAAGTATCTACTAAATCTCCATAAAGTTATCTTTAATCTGACCGTGGAACAAGGAAATTGACCGTGGAATGATATTTTTAATGATTTTTTGAAAATGACAGAATGGTGGAAATATGGGTTATACGACATTTAACATGCAATTTTAAGGAAAATGAAGCATTTTTTAGTTTGAGGTAAAGTATAATAATTTTCGCCTGGTTATGAACTTTCATACTATCGACACCAGATGCTGACAAATGCAAGCGAAGACGCGGACGGTCCCGAGGTAATATTGTTGACTTTTGTGTCGGGGCGGACGACCGCGTGGAACGTGAGTGAATTTACCGAGCTACTGTTGTAAACTCAGTTTAAGCGGTTGAAAATTATCCAGCTGTATTTTATCATCCCGGAAAGACATATTTTATTTGGATGCTAGCTGTTTAGAGTTGTTTTATAAGGAGCGTCATGAGCGTGGTTTTTGTCTTCCGTGTTTCTAAGCGTGATCGTTTTGGGGGAATTTCTCTTATATAGCTCGCTCTGTGTGGCTTATTTATAATTTTTATGCTGATTTCGATAATTCCTCGTGCCCATCCTACCAGGCCTTTTGCCACTTACACTCATCAAGAAAGGAAAAAACTAGATTTTCATTGGGACTAGGTGTTTTGAGGGTGTAACATATTCAGCGTTCCCATTTTTGGATACTTCCTTGTACTCGTCAACTATCGGTGATAAACAGACAGGTGCTTGACATGTCTCCACCCTCAGCGCGGACGGTGGATATAGGTATGGAAGACCTTGTTGAACATCGCTGAGCGTTGTGAATTACGTAATCCTGCAGAGGGGGGCGTGCCCGCTGCGAGATCGACGGGAATAAAAGCGCAGAAGACCGGGCGAAACATGCGACGGTCTTGCCGGAAAGGTCATCTGATGATTGTTGCGTTAACAATAATTTGCGGCGTTGGACGTGATGCTTGTTAATGAAAAGAGCCCCTGAAAGGCGTCGGTGAAATCGTTCCCAATTTTGGGTACGCCGTTCCCATAATAAGGAACGCTTGCAGCGCCAGTGTACGAGAGCGTTCCCAAATTTGGGCTCGCGGCCCGGATGATGGACTGCTTTAGAAATAGGGGAACGATTTGAAACTACGATGGGCTTTACAATATCAAACTCTTTCCCAACAATATTGAGACAAATATCAGGCGGTTCACGATCGTTTTATATTTTTTGGACGTCATTTAACGGTTCTTTTTCTTGTTTTAAATAATGCCTACATGGCGTTCCCATATTTGGGTTTATCGTTCCCAAACATGGGAACGAAAATGCGTTCCCGAAAATGGGTACGCTTGACCATAGTTCCGCCTACTGAATTCAATTTTCTAGTTTTTTAGATTGTTACCGTACACATCCATGTCATTTTGGATTATTGTGCTAGTTTTCACTACTGATGTTTAATTAGTTTTGATTTGACAGCTTCTCTGAAACATTTAATTTTCAATTTCAAATTTTGCATGCTGTTGACATGTAGGTCAGGAGGCCGAGGGTAAAAATGAAATTTGAGTAGGTAACCATCCTTTGAAATCCTGTCAGTACCTAACTTGCCAGTCCCGTAGCTCAGCCAGTAGAATGTTCATGTTGGTCACTGCATGGACCATGGTGAGACTTGAGAGCACGCATTCCTGGTTATAACTGCCCAGGTTTGAAGCGTGACATGAGCTTGACATGTGTTTATGAGTCTTCTGACAGGTATGGTTGCGGTTGGTGGCAGGCCGTAACCAGGCAAAGTCAGTGAGGGACTGGCCATGTGCAGCTATGTGTGTACACTGTACAGTGAACATTTAAACTTTGGACTCCAAATTCTGTCATAGAATCAGAATTTCGCGATTGGAGGGTAGAGTGGGTCAACACAATAAGCTTTGCTCAGCAGAGGGTCTGTCCTTGTGAAATGTGAATCCTTTCATTCAATTGGTTGGGACAATTTTTTTTTTATTGTGACCCTCATAAGCAGAGTTAAAGTTTGATCACGTGTGAGACTATAAGGAACAAATTTGGTTCTTTATTTTGATGGCATGGATTGGCATAGCTATATTTATTGCTGAGGTACCTTCTCATTCTCAGGTCCTGATCACTGATCACACCCTAACAACCAGGGATGCGGAGCCGGAGCCGGAGTCGGAGCCGGAGCCGCCGGAGCCGGCATATTTTGCCCGGAGCCGGAGCCGGAGCCGGAGCCGTGAAACAAAATAGCCCGGAGCCGGAGCCGGAGCCGGAGCCGCCAAAAAAGGGGGCGACTCCGGCTCCTTTTTATTTTTTGAAGAGGAAAAAAAATAATAATTGACCTAGTTCGGTTTGACAGTACAAGGCAGTAAAACATATGGTACTTACGTCATGGGCCATCAAGTGAATGAAAAAATCCGAATATCCCCAGTATCCCACAGTACGCAAACAACTTCCTGTTTGCTCTTCCCCCCCCCCCCCCCCCCACGTCTACTGCATCCCCTGAACATGAGGACCAGTCATCAGGTGACGGCCATTGTTTTCAAACCAGTGCAGTGGACTGCGACTCCCAGCACCGTCTCATCCCACACACCCCCCACCCCTCACCCCCAATGCAGCCGAGACGGGTGTCAGCTTACGATGGTTCACTGAACTCCGATTCGCGGCGACTGCGTTTCCAATGCCATCGCTTCCTAGCCCTTTGTTCTGCCAGTTCTCTCCGAGGTGCGTTTGCGCGGGGACGCGGTGAGCCGGTCATGGCAAAGAGTAACGCGTATAACCAATCCAATTTTTCTTCCACCCGTATTTAATTGATTGCGTAGGGGATGTACTGAGTCGGAGCCGGAGCCGCCGGAGCCGGAGCCGCCGGAGCCGGACCATTTTACTCGGAGCCGGAGCCGGAGCCGGAGCCGCCATAACATTTCACCCGGAGCCGGAGCCGGAGCCGGAGCCGATTTTTTTCTCCGGAGCCGGAGCCGGAGCCGGAGCCGTCTGAAATTTCCACGGCTCCGCATCCCTGCTAACAACCATTACGTAATCTGCCTTCTGATAAGGATAAGTAGGTATTCTAGAAACCAGCTTAAGCCATTTTTCAGTATAACAAATTGTTTCAAGTGTTTTGGCCATTGGGAATAAACTTAACTAAGCAGCATTGCACAGTGCAAACCATTCAGCAATTCAGGTAAAAATGACCTTAAATGAATTCAAATTGTATCTAGGGGCTTATGCACTTTCATTCAAAGTGCACATATCAGTTTCATTGAAAATGCTATGTGCACTTTGAATTGAAAAAAAAATTACCATTGAAAATTTGCCATTGCCAAATCATTTTCATTGAAAAAAGAAACACTAGCTGAATACAGCAGTCAAAGTTAAATATACACAAACTTAAAGCAGGACAGAGAGTCAAATGGCATCCTCACTCAGTGAATTTAGAATGCAGAATATCTGCAAATTATTTTCAATACAAATTATGAACTGTTTCAGTTCAGTCTTGTGAACAGTAATTGCTATTATATCCAAGGGAAGTTGATATTTATCTTGTGTATGCACAATCCCAGACTGTCAAATCATTAGCTTTTCAATTGGATGCATACAGTGTTCTTATTCATGTAGTTTCACTCGCTACGAGTGTCAAGTGAACCTGAATGCCTCCGTGTCCTCAGCGCAGTCGCCATGAAGGCGCGGAGGAGCTCGGGCCTGCGGTACCGACCGTACGCCCGCAGTACGTCCATCCACCACTCGGACCCGGAGGTCATCTGCGACGACGACGAGCTGGACGACACGATCGTGGTGGTGTACGACCGGCGGCGCCACCAGGCCGCGCCGGCCGCCCCCGCCAGGGGCCCCGCCGCCGGTCGGAAGGATGGCGGAGCGGGCGCGGCGGCGGCGGCTTCTTCAGGGACTCCTGCCTCCGCGGCGCCGCCGCCGGCGGGCGGGACGGCCACCAAGTCGCAGCTGGAGTTCTCCCCGTGGCGGGTGTCGCGGATCCCACTACCGGCCGACCCCAACACTCCGGACCACTCCAAGACGCTGTGCGCCAGCCCCGCCGACGCCGCCACCTCGGGACACAAGGCGGCCGCTGAGCTGACCGTTGACGAACTATTCAGTCCCTTCTCGGGATCCCCGGTCGTGCGGAACACTGACACAGGCACGGTGAAGAAGTGGAAGCGGAATCGTCGGAAATCTCGCCGCGGGAAGGGTCCGATCACCTCGACGCCGGCTCCGGGCGCTCCTGGCGGCGCTCGCGGCGGCACGGGCTCGGCGCCGGCCACACCGGCCCTCCGCCCGCCGGACGTCAGTGAGGTGCGTGATGTCACACCCTTTGTGATCACACTAGACGAAGATCCTACTGTATTAGAAGTAACGGAAGTACGCCGTGTGGTGCGGCAGACCACGCCCTCCGAGAAACGGACGGTCAGGACGGACCTGAGCGCGGATGTGATGCTGCTCGACACCTCCTCTGAGAGGACGCCGGCACGCCGCTTGAAGGCCGCCAATCTGTCCAAGATGCGGCCGGGGCGAGTGGGTACCAGATCGCCGGGGGGACGGGTGACCAAGAAGTCTCCAGCACAGCCTGCCAGAAAGTCTCCAGCACAGCCTGTCAGAAAGTCTCCAGCAAAGAAGTCTCCTGCGGCCAAGGGCAAGACGGCGGCTGGTACGGCCGCCCCGGCCGCTGACCTCGAGAGCTCCCTGGAGGAGGGCGAGCTGTCCCGCACCCGCCACTCCTCCAATGACATCACGGTCGTGCAGGTGAAGCCGCTGCGCCGCACCAGCAGCACGCAGCGGCGCCTCCAGGCCGTGAAGAAGATGGCGGTCCGCACGCTCAGCCGGTCGCAAGTCAAGACGCCGAGCAGGCCGGGAAAGTCGGGCAGGTCGCAACGGTCGAAAAGGTCCGACAGGCCAAGGGATCACCGCAGTCAGCGAAACCTGAAGGGACCGAATGAGCGGGGGCCAACACGCTGGTAAGTGCTCAGAGTGGATGTCTCATGCGCATGTCAAATTTCTGCATGTTTTTGTTTCGTCAATGAGATTAGGGGTATTGTCTAAACTGATGATCATTCCCGATTTATGGTTGTTGTAATAGTTATTGCTCAACCGGTATTTGCTTGACTTGTTATCATTTAGCGATTCTTGTTTTTTTTTTTCAGTCGTAAGATGCTCAGCATAAAATAGGAGATTGTTAATCGGTCCTTCCCCCATGACCTTTAGCATCGCGCACCGTGCACGTTCTGTGTAACCAGCAGCCTCCCCCCTCTCCTTCAGGATGGTGGACCGGCGTGGCAGCAGGTTCGCCGCTCCTCTTGGAGCCACCTCCGACCAGCCCATCAAGTTCGCGCCCGACTTTTCCGAGTCGTTCGCGCGTATGGTGTCGGAGCGGCCGAAGCGACCCGTCATTATCGACGGACCCAACGTGGCCTACGCGTGAGTGTTTCGGATGGCTGGAAGCGAAGGGGTGGTCCTAATGTGACAAGGATCCGGGGCTTGAGCTGTACATATTGTTGTTATTCATGGCTTTTACGTTTTTCACTTCTTTTTGTGGAAGTAGGGACATTGTAAACTACAATTGTGCCATTTTTGTTGCGCTTGTGTGAAAATATGTCACTATGAGCTGCAAAACAGTAGAGAAAAAGTTACATCTCCTTTCTGTTTCCCAGTGAAGTAGCACGCTATTCACTCACGCCGATAGAGATCGCGCATAGCAGCAAAACTTCAGTGGGAACCGCGAACATGTCTCGATCATATCTGCTCAGTGTTTATCGCTGCCAACTTATCCCTTTCAGCCACGGCCGGAACAAAGTCTGCTCGTTCCGCGGCATCAAGATCGTGCTCGACTACTTTAAGAACCTGGGCCACCGGTGCACCGTCTTCATCCCGAGCACTTTCATCAACCGTGCCCGGACCCAGGAGAATGAGAAGGTGGGTCAGTGAGGGGCCGTACTGGTGTGTCCTGTTTGTCCCGGGTTGCGCCATACATATTGCATCTCAGTTAGTTGCCAGTCAGTGTGATATTCGATTTTGGGAGTTTCGTATGTGTATGGATTGATTGGCGGTAGTGATGAAACGCCAGGCTTTCATATAGCGGAAGTTGTAATCTTTAACGCATTTCAGGATCGGCTTACAGTCTCATAAAAAACGCGATAGCTAACTATCAAGGCACGCAGTAGTCTGTTCCACTACGGACCTTACAGGACAGATTTGTTTCGTGTTCTTGTTTCTCGTTTCGTTAGCCACGCAGCAGCATCAGCTGCAGTTTTTAGCACAAGTCAACGACTAACGTCAGTCTACTGCGACCCGCAATGGAATAGGATCACCTCCGTCACTGGCGCTCAGCAAGCTGATCTCTGCGGCTCTACAGTCCCTTCTCCAGATATTGACCAGAACATCGTCAAGAGCGAAATTATTTACGACTGTTGCATGTCTTGTTGGTACTTTGGCGTCCTTCGTGGTACGGATTAGGCCGGTAAAATTTGTTTTAAATGATAAATGCAGGCCAGCAGCTGATCAATTACAACAGCACACACTTGCGGGTGAAGCAATTTATCACGCGGAACAAGTGCTAATCGGAGCTCTCACGTGCTTTAAGTGGCCAGGAGGTGATTGGCCTCGTTGACATGAGCACGTTGTATGAAGCATGATGTTTTCGGATGATCCTCTTCGTACGATTTTCTCCCGAACTAGGACGCCACGATCGCCCGGGCTGAGTATGTTCAATAGTTGATTCTCGTCACCATCATACGTCGGAAAAGTCTTGAATGACTTTTTGATGAAAAAGCCATGTGCCGAGATATTTGAATGACATGTGATCGAATTCCAAAACGGAACCCACCTGGCAAATCGGCAACACTTTTATGGCCGCCTGGGCCGCATCAACAACAATGAATCGTGTCGTAAGTAAGAATGAAGAATGAAGAAACTTTCACAGGTGTTTAATAGAAGTTTCTCCTCCACACGCAAGTTCTGTGTTTGTTGGACTCCTCACTTAACTACTAGTACCTCGGAAAGAGTGAAATGTGAACCGCCCTTTTCAGGGCGAGCAATGCATCACCGAAAACCAACCGCCCTTCTCAGGGCGTCGATGCATCTGCGTTGCGCACTGCGCAGATCAATGTGCATTGTGCACCGTCTCATTACGAATGCTATTAGTTGATGCCATTCCCAAGAACTGGGAAGTATGAGTCAGTTACTTACTACTCTTCGCTTGTTTGTGAGTGAAGCCTGTGTGTGTGTGTGTGTGTTTTTTGTATTTGGTGTTTTTGTACTGTATTTTTTGTATTATTGTATGATTTTTGTATTATTGTATTATTTGTATTGTATGTATTTTGTATTTCCTTGTGTGTGTGTTTCCCCGTAATGTTTGGCTATTGATGTGTTTGAATGCTTTAATCGTTAGCGCTGAAAGTACAATATTCCTAAGCGTAGCGTCATCACTGATGCTATATGCTCAGTAGCAAAACATCAACCAACTTTAAGTATGCTTATCATAGCAAGTCTTTGTGGATTGACACTTACCTCAACTGTGTTCCAATTGTTTTTGTGTTTGCATTGCGTCTAATGCTTATTTGTCAAGGCTGCACTGTGCCCGTGCTTCTACATCGTTTACAGTAAGCTTGGCTCTTTAGTCTGGTCTCAACACTCCTGATATGTTGGCCCCTCAGAGCTGAAATATGCTATCAACGAGTATTGCAATCGTGGGGTATGCCCTTGTCACTATCACTGATTTTTAGCTGTTTCACTATCTTTTTTCTAGACAGAAGTTTCAGTGGTAAGCTTAACTCCAGTGATCACCTTTGGAAGTGTTTTCCAGCACGCTGCGGTCCAGTGATATGAGTGTCCTTGAACCCCAGTACCTACCACGTGTGTCCGTGTCGCGCGCCCCTGTACGCGCCTGTGTCTGTGCCGCGCGCCCCTGTACGCGCGCGCCTCTGTGCCGCGCGCCCCTGTACGCGCGTCTGTGTCTGTGCCGCGCGCCCTTATTCGCGCCTGTGTCTGTGCCGCGCGCGCCCCTGTACGCGCCTGTGTCTGTGCCGCGCGCCCCTGTACGCGCGTCTGTGTCTGTGCCGCGCGCCCCTGTACGCGCGCCTGTGTCTGTGCCGCGCGCGCCTGTACGCGCCTGTGTCTGTGCCGCGCGCCCCTGTACGCGCCTGTGTCGGTGCCGCGGCCTCGTCTGTGTTCGCCGCTGTATGCGCGTGTGTGATGTGCGCTCGGCTACCGCTAGCTGCTGGAGGATCTCTACCAGACGGGCGAGCTGGCCTACACACCCAGTCGCTACATCCGTGGGCGGCTCGTCACCAGCTACGATGACAGGTGGGTGCGCCGAGTGGCACCGGCGAGGTCAGGTCGGCCGGCGGCAGGGCTTGGATGCTAGGTCGGCCGGCGGAGGGGGACCGGGCCATTGGCAGGAGCTGGGGTCATAGGTCAGCCGGTGGGTGGGTACAGGTCATAAGACAGGTCATTGTGTCTGGTATGTTTTTAGTCCGTGTGACTAGTGACTGGGTGTCAGGCTGTTTTGTGGCAGCCACCGGTTCCTGTTGGTTCTCCTGTGTGGCTATGTTGTCACTCTTCAATATTCTGATTCTGTCTGTTTTACTTTATTGGAATTGAAATCGATTAATCATGAATTACCGAAAAAACGTTTGCTGTGATTCAAGTCAATCTGTATTCCAAGCTGTATTCCGTCTTTTGTTTAGCCCGACATGCTCTGCAAAACAATTTTAAACAGGGCGAGCTGTTTCACGTAACAGATACAAAATAGCACATCTGCGTGATTCGCAACACTTCCAAGGCCGACCGCCAGCTAGCGGCGACAGATGGCGCCTGAATCAGCCGTATCCCCCAACTGCGCCCCCATGTCGACTTAGGATGATAGCTTGAGTGTAAACACATACATAGTGTCACATCAGTGTTAATTGCCTTATTTGGTAGCCGTCTTCTCCGTGATGGAATTAAGCGTATCTTGTTCGTGATTCTGATTCTTGTGCCACGTCACGTCTGGAAGATGTGTCTTGATTTATGTTTTGCACCAATCGCATACTGACCACGTAAGTGCTTGACTCATGAAGTCGAAAAATGAAATACTTGAGCCGAACTGAGTTGAGTTTGGTCTGCTCCATGCAGTTTCACGCCACGTAGTGAAATGTTCTGTTCAGTCACGTGTGTTTCCTGTGCTGTGTCACGCCACTGTCTGAGAACTGAGCTAAGTGCGCCCTCATCCCGTGCTCAGGTACGTGGTGATGTACGCCACGCGCGTGGGGGGTGTCATCATCTCCCGCGACCTCTACCGCGACGTGGCGCAGGAGCGGCCCGACTGGGGCGACACCATCGATAACAGGTCAGAACGGAGGCCCGTCGCCGCGCCGGCTCGGTGGGCTATACGCTCCCGTGTGTGCATACCGCTCTTGCTGGATCTATGAGGAATCGTACTTCTGTAAATTTGACAGTTATTGACGTCTACCATAGCTTAAAAGACTGCTAATTTGACTGCCGACCGCCGCCACTGCCAATTTTTGGGTAGGCTGCTGGCTGCTTTCCCCGCCCATTGATTGTTGCTAACTGTATGCACAGGCTGTTCATTGCTGAGGCTAATTACGTTGTTGCCTGATTCCCTGCAGGCTGCCAATCGCTGTGTTTGTGGGAGACCAGCTGTTGATCTCTGCTCGACTCTGCTGAGTGCTGACCGCTGACATTGCTGCCTGTGTCCCTGCAGGCTGCTGACCGCTGACATTTGCTGCCCTGTATCCCCGCAGGCTGCTGATCCCCACGTTTGTGGGCGACCAGCTGCTGCTGCCGCCGGACCCGCTCGGCCGAGACGGGCCTGGCCTGCTGGAGTTCCTGAGGTTCCCGCCGGGCAGCTGTCAGCTGCTCGGTGACCAGCCGGCGCCCTGGGCCCAGCCGTGACGGCTAGCCGTGACAGTCGCCGTGACGGTCGCCGTGACGATCACCGTGACGAGGTGAGGTACAACTAACGCCCCGTGACGCACAGCGGCCGCCGAGAGTCAGAGCTCAAGTGATCTGTTCGCAGAAGTAGTGACTGAAATGTGAACGCTACGGTGTGGTGCTCCGATAAGGGAGGCTCGGGAGGATCTTGTGTGGAAGACGGGCTGTGAGTGCGCTTACAGACTTCAGAGACTGACAAAGGCGAGACGAGCTACTTCTAAAGACAGTGGCGAGGTAGGGCCTGTGATTCCTGGTTTGTCTGAATGAAGTGCGTTTGTGAAGTTGACAAGATCGACTGGCAGGTGGCTCATGGGTATGGAACGTCGCGTATGGCTGTCACTGCCATTGTGTGGTTTGGGTGTCCGTTCAGCGGACTGTTACTGCCAGGGACGGTCTGTGACCACTTTCATCGCCGTATGACCACTTGGGGACGGCGGCTGCTACATCAGACACTAGCAACTAGTGCGCCTTTTCCGATAAGTCAGACAATAACAAGTAGGTCGCTCATGTGATCGGTTTGTTCATGCATAATTACTGATACATCATACGCGTCCCGAATGTGTCAGTATATTCCCGATAGGTTTCTGTAGTACTGACGGAAGACGAACCACAACAGACGCAACCGAGGGTTGTCGTGTCGCGCCATGCAGCGGCGGGAGGCTTCCTGCTCGCTGGCGGCTCCATGTCAGATAGGGACTCAGTTGATTGGGGTCCATCCTGTGCGCTGAGTGCTCAGCTACGGGGTGGTTATTTGAGAAGGAAATAAAGTAACACGTGGTTGCCGCGATTTATTTACAGTCATAAGAGTAAACTGACGTAACATTGGAAAGGCAATTGTTGGACATTTGATGTGAAACAAAAAACAAAATCGCTCCACTTCTCTTACACTCAGAGCGGGCGCTCAAAATGATCGTTCTGTTTCGGGCAGTGAAGCTCGGCTTGGCTCCGGGCGCAGTGTGCCATTAGTCGCAGCTGTGCCTCACTGATGTTACGGGCAAATTAATCCGCCATGCCCTTCAGTTGCTTCAATGATGGGAACCTATGGCGAACCACTCGTCCTAATATTGTTGCTAGATACCTTAGTTGAGACAAGTCGGGGCGGAACTACGCGAAATCCAGCAATGTTGTGTGACTGCGCGAGATCCAGCAGCCACTCCAGTAATGACTGGCTGACGGGGGAACAGCAATGTTGCCCTGTTCCTCCGTCAGTCACTCCCTCAAACCAAACATTGGCCAACGAGCAAGCATTTATCGTCGATGTTGCCCTCTTGGTATCACCTTTGTACTGTGATTTTTCTTGAATAAGGCAATTTGATTAAAAATACCGTGATGAATACCTCAGTCCCTAATCCTTGAGGTGACAAGGGTATGATGGATAAATTTGTCCGCAACATCAGTGAGGTAGAGCTGCGACAAATGGCACACCACGCCCGGAGCCGAGCCGAGCTGCGCTGCCCGAAACAGAGCGGTCATTTCGAGCGCCCTCTGAGTGAAAGAGAAATGAAACGAATTTGTTTTTTGCTTCGCATCAAATGTCCAACGATTGCCGTTCCAATGATGTGTCAGTTTACTCTTCTGAGTGTTAATAAATAGTGTTAATCACACGTTATTTTATTTCATTCACAAATGATCACCATGTAGATATTGATATGAGTGAGTGATTCTTTGTTAGGACGGCGAGTCTTCACCCGCAGTGAACAATGAGAGTGTCTTGAGCTGATGAGCTGAGCAGTATTGGCACAAAAGCTGCCAGCAATGACCCAGCTCCAAAACCACAGTGCAAAGTACAAGCTAATTGTCCGATTGCTTGCATTGTTTGATGTGGGACCGAGTTTTGTAGTTTTGCTTCGTGGTGTTCCCTGGGAGGGGTTTGTGTTTCAAGGAACTGACTGATGTGTGGTAATTGCTTAGCCATTGGTCGTGAGTCTGAGTTGTTAGTCTGTCTCTGCGCTCACAAAAATGTGCCTTACATACAGTTTTTTCATTGCTGCTCCGCCGTTTTGAAAAATATTTCAATAAACTGTTTTCGTATTTTGTTGATGTTGATTTATATCTTAGAATGGGTTGAGCGTCCATTCATTGCTAACCGCATTCAGTCGGGTCTTTTATGCGAGCTGTTTCGTCGATGCATGTGCTGCCGCCTACGAGGGGGGTCGGCTGCCACCTACCGTCGACTGGTGCAGTCCATGTAGTTCCATGGCCTTGGTGCAGTCTGTGTGGTTTCGCACTTAGCAGCTCACACCACCATGCATTGTACAATGTGCGTTTATTTATTCCTGACTCCTGACTCCTGAGTCATTGAAGGACGTGGTAGTAATCGGGAATGTCCCGAGCTGTTTTCTTTTGAGTGAGCCGTCGGGATCCGCTGGGATGTCTCACGAAAAGCGAGGGATAAGCTCACCGCGTTGTAGGGAATCCGTTCACGTTGAAAATCACTCGTCAAATCTCAAGAACCATGTCAAAGATATGAACAATGTACCGTTTTCCGATGCGCCACGTCGCGTTCTTACCTCTGATGATTTACAACTCAACCCCTGACTGCATGCGACCTTGAATCACCAAGGAACTCGATCAACCCTATCCATCACCCCTGTGCAGTGATGGACTGCGCGCAGGTTCGGTTACGGGCGCCTGCAATAGTGCAGTCTCATCGGAACGCCGCGGGGTCGGCCGCTGCGCCGGCACGACCGCATGGCTCGTGGCCGGTCACCGCTCCGCCGCTCCACATAGCGGGACGGCAATGAGACTGAGGCACCACTCCGCAGTAGTCCAGTCCAGAGCACACCGTGCCAGTGTCAGAGACAGGCAGCACATTCAATGGAAATGATCGGTCAGTCTTCACATTCATGGCACGAACTTACCGTAGCATCAGCTTGGCAGTCGATATTATGCGCTGCCATCTTGTGATGTGTATATTTATACAGACATCAAGCTTTAAAAATATGTGGAAGAACGCTGCTATTTATCTAGATGCAATGAGATGCCATAATGTTATATAAGAGACAGGTGCTCAGAATTAATGTTTTCAAGGGAGGAGGCGAATATTGCACACACGGAGAAGCAGAAGACCGCTAGTGGATAAGGCCGTTTTTTGTGCATTCGATTGTTTGTTTACCTGTTTTTTTAATTCATGTAGAAAATGGTTTCGATGAAGTCCGTCAAATCCTTTCGATTATGCCGCATTCCGCCGGAACAATTTGCAAGCGGTTTCGGCGAGTTACCTCCGGTCAAATCTGACGACATTAGCGAAAGAACTTTGAAAGAGATATCGTATGCGCCGTTCTGCGACGCTGACGCTCTTGGTTCACGAGTTGTATGTCAATTTGTGAAACAATAGTCAAAATCGGGAACTTTTACGGGAAAATTTTGGCTGTGATGATCTCAAGTGACCTCAGTGTTCACTTAAACGAGAAAAAAAAAACGTCCAGAATACTTGTTCTGACAAAGCTTGTAAAGAGCAAACGATTCCCTTTTCGCGTCTTTTTAGACTTCTTAAATCTTACTTAGTTTATCTTTTAGATAATCGGATGTGTCCAGCCTCCCCCTAGCCCCGCCCCCCCCCCCCCCCCCACGCACACACACAGTCCCACACAATGGCCTAGTTGGCTCAGACTTCTATCCGGGGGCGGGTTAACCTGCAGCGTTGGCTATTTCAAATGTTAATTACTGCCTTTTTAACCGTAGACTGTTGGAAATGGAAATGCTAGGTCGTCTACTGCAGGCTACATCAGCCATGCACTGCTGGCTGTTTGAATCGTCCACCGCTATTTTAGATGTGCGCTGCTGGCCATTTTAAGAGGGAATCACTGTTGAACACCTCTGTACAAATGCAATCGACCCAATCTACCGAGCTCCATTCACCTCTCAGGCAGGTGACCTCGGCCCGCGGCATCCGGTAGTCTCACTACGCGCATACATACATGCATGACACGGCGCGTCTCGCCCCGATCAGCTCGACAGTGGCTGCGCGCACGATACCACGCACGGCGCTGGCCGCCGTACTACGGAGCTGCATAACTGAATAGTGTCTGCCTACCCGGCGACATAGCTACTGGCTCATGGCTGCAACTTCAGAGATGACTTGTAGGTATTCATCGACACCACTGCACTGCACGGTGACCTGTACCTACTGGATGCAGCCCACAAGGTTCGGACAGTGACCTGCACCTGGCGCACTTTGAGGCGCTACTCTGTGCCGGGTGTTGTGTTAATCATGTGTTTTGTGCGTACCTACCGTGTGCAATGCCTCACTGCACTGCACAGTAATCAGTGCCGGGTGCAGCTCTGAGGCGGTGACCGGTACCGGATGCAGCTCTGCGGCGTTGACCTGTACTGGGCGCAGTGCTGAGACGGTCTCTTGTACCGGGTGCAGCGTTGAGGCGGTAATCTGCACCGGGTGCAGGCCTCAGCTCTAGAAGGGTGGTGACATGTACCGGGTGCTGCTCTGAGACGATTTTTGTACCGGGTGCATTGTTCAGTGTTCACCGCTCAGGCCAGTGGCCACAAACGAGCAATGCACGTGCCTATGTGGGTATACATACTAGTATTATGCATTTTGAGTGTTGGCGGGTTTGGCGGGTTGCAGTGCAATTCTTTGGATGCCTGTATAGGGTATAAGGACAAAAGTTCGGCTATCCTAGGCAAGACGTGAGCACATAAAGATGCACTAGGTAACTATATTCAGGCCTCTTCGAGCTATACCTAACTGGTCATTCTTTTACGCGTTTCAGGTTAGACTGAGCAAGACCGAACCTGTAAGTTTTAAAGAAGCTATGGTGGTCTAATATGCTAAACATACCCACCATAAGTACCTACCATAAGTTACCTACTCTAAGACTAAGCAAGCCGACTATGGGTCTGGGGAACTCATTCAGAAGTATACGTTTGCGCTTGATTAAAATCAAAACGTATATACGTTTGATTGAAACGTAGGTTGTGGGCGAATCTATCGTCGAATCTATCGGCCCTTAGGCTTACAAGTATCATAAGAAGCCCAAATAAGTGACCAATTTATGGAAGGCGGCCTTTTGTCAATGTCAGGCTAATTTATGTTATCTTTTTAATAGCGGCGTACGTTTCGAAACTTCAGAAAGTGAAAACTGGCCTTCAGAATCGCAGCTACGAGGTCTGATAACCGATCTATAATGGGGGTAAATACAGGTTTTTGAGAGAAGTCATGGCCCAGTAGCTGAGGTCTAAACAGTGTCAGCACCCAGAGTCAGCACACCGTCTTGCCGGTTGGTACTATATATGTATAGGTAGGCTTTAGCTGGTGGATAGGTAGGTATTTACCTACCTATGTCGCTCTCGCTAGGTAGCTAGGTATCTTTCCGATCCCTTTCTGAACCTCTCGAAGTCTATATTTTATTTCTAAGGATATGTTAGGAAAGGTTTCCAGCTACAAGCTAACAAATATGCGGACAGAATGGTGGGGACACTTTCCCCTGGCCCCTTCCCCTCCCCAGTTCGCCCAGTCGGTCATTCAACGACTGCAATCCGGGATCCCGACCCCAGTTCGGCCGGCCACGCAGCCTCTCCCTCCCCTCCCCCCCCCCCACCGCTCCAGCCCCAGGCACCAGCTTAGCCCCTCCCCTTGCCCCTCCCTCAGCTATGCATGCCCCCATAGCGCCCCCGGCGCCGCCCGTTGGCGCATGCGCAATTAGCCCACGGTGTGTCAACAAGGCTGAAAATCGAATGCAGCGGCCCCGTCCACGCGGATCAAGGCCGTTCATGTTTTGAGCGGCTTTGAGTGTTGTGGGACGGGTCAGTCGCCTCTTGTGTGTAATTTGTCGTGTGTACGGTGATCGAGCGTGCTAGTGCAATGTGTGATACTGTTGTGAAACAAATTATCGGATATGTATTTATTATGAGAAGCCAAGACCCTGGGTACCGTCATTGTCTTGCTTTCCAGTTTCTTTCGTACACGTTATCATTGAGTGCTTCGGTTTCAAGAAAATATGGAGTCAATATCACACAGAAGGGAGCCCTACAGGTAAGTCCCTGTCAGTTCATGCTTTCATTATTTTGGAAGAAAATCTGCCGTTATTTATTTGGTGGACATAGGCGGCGGAACGGGGAGGGCACCGGGGCACCATGCCCCCTTTGATTCTGACATTTTAACATTAGCCCGATGGGCGTTGGCTGCATGGAAAAAATGGGACCAAAAGTCGTCAGTGCCCCCCCCCCCCCCCCCCGCCTCCTCTTAATTAAAGGTGTTCCGCCGCTACTGTTGGTGGAAGCCGGATAAATATTTGAGACATGTGATGTCAGGTCTCGCTGACGCCTAACCTCGTTGACCCTTGTTCAATTAGGTACCAGACCGTGCATTGTGCATGTCCAGAGTGTTGGATCCGTGATCCATCCATCGACCATCTCAGTGGCTCCCAAAACAAGGTGCAGATATTTGATTCCGTCGGATCCGACGTGAAATCTCTCCGATAATCTTGATGCATCTGATCTCAAGGATCTGTTACAATTCAAAGACATTGCTATATCAATATGGTCCGAGAATAGACGCCCAAATGAGCAGCCCGTGAAAAAAAAAATCCCAATCGATTGAATCGATATCAGTAACTTTAGACTATGAATTGTGAGCTGGGGTCATATTGGATTGGATTCATAAGTTTGCAATGCGACAGTTCCCAGGAAGAAGTGTCAAATTTTCGAAATTGAGTTTTTTGTATTTGTACCAATCGACTGTCGAGCTTAGTCGAATGGTATAAAAAGCTCAGTTTCGAAAATTTGACACTGGAAGTTTTTGCTGGGAACTATCGAATGGTTCTGATAACAATTTTGATAACACTCATTCCTAAAAAAAAATGATTTCCGATTGGATGAAATGAAGTAGTGATCCGTCATCTCACCTAATTTCTCGACAAAAATATATTGAGATCTACGCTCTCAATAGATCACTCATGGAAGTGAGGTGAACTTGCTGAATCTAATTTTTTTCTATTGGTTTTGAGATCAAGATCCGTGGCCCGCATATCTGTAATCCCGATCAATTTTCTTAGATCCATTGAAATTTGTACACTAATTTT